CGTATTCTCGGAAAAGTGGTTGCAGGAGGTGAGCTGGCTTCAAACAAATGATGAAAGCACAGAGATGTGGTGCAGAATGTGCCGTGAAAATTTAATAAATGACAAATTAATAAAAAGGCATGAACATCGCATCGTTGCACCCCTTATATATACACACACACACACACACACACACACACACTACAGTGTGTGTGTGTGTGTTTAACAAATTGACCAGTAACTTCTTATATAAGGAGGATCATATGCAATGCAAGAAAAACATTGTAACTTTTTAGATTTAACTTTTTTTCTAAACTATTAGCATCTTTGAATAGTATCTGAAAACACCTCCATACATCTGCGATTTTATAGGAGGCTCTGAGATAACACTGTATTAGTAATCAAACCTCACCTAGTTTTTGGAATGTGTCAAAACAGGTATCCCTCAGGAGAAGAGCGTTGCATTGCTTGCAAGCTGTGTGAAGCAATCTGTCCTGCCCAGGTATAAACAAATAGTCATACCTATGTGAACAAATATGAATGAGATAAAAACAACTTTGGCTATAGATATGTTTGCAGCATAACTGTCCTCACAGGACCTCAACTGTATAACTGAACATGTATATGATACAGTGCAAAAGTCTTGAGCCACCTATCATTTCTTTGTAGATTGCTGGGAAATTTGGAAATATGTGCAGAGATTTATTCAAACATGTTCAAGCATAAATGGAAATACAATAGATAAGTCAAAAACATAATTTGTACAATTCTAATGAGCTTGAAAATCAGTATTTGGTAGGAACAGCTTTGAATTCTCTTTGTGTAATTTCTTTAAGCAGTCTTCAGGAATGGTTCACCAGGCTTCTTGAAGGGCATTTAAAGCTCTTCTTTGGATGCCACCCTAGACTGAGAGCAATTCTGAGGCTTTGGCGAACAGTAGATAGGTGAACCATGGGAGCCAGATGCATCTGTCAGGTCATGTGTCAGGTCTATGCTGGATTTTTTTTATATGACTTTCAGATACCTGCCACTTTTTTTTTTGTTCCCTAATTGTCCAATTTCCTCAAATTAGCCCACTTAGCTGAGATATGCCAGGTTCTTGGTTAGCAGTTCTTAGAACTAATCTTGTTGCTGTAAAAATCGTATTTCATGCCTCTCAAACTGTTGTCTTTGAAATATAGGACTAAATAATGGATTTATGTGACAGGCTGAAAGGATGCAATCTAAAATTGTTTTGTTGCTAAGTTGTCTGTTATGTGTAGACACAACACTGGTTCATCCCAGGAGTTAGGTGCCTTTTTATTGCTTGAATGATTCAAAAATCAGTGTTAAAAGTGTCTTAAAAAACCTTTGTCCTCTGAAAGTCATTTTCAGTCAAGGACTGGACTGAAAAAGCGCACCTGAATATTAGCTGCACAAACTAAAATTAGGGAAAACTCCTGTTTTGTACATAGATTAGCCGCACCTGACTAAAAGCAGCAGGTGTTTTAATGTTTACTTACCATATGTAAGAGAATATGCACAAAGGGGATTGTCAGGAAAGAGATGGCTGTTTGGGACCACATCCCTTTTATTAATATTTTGAAAAACAAGTTACCGGTACATATTTGCATAACTTTTTACGTATATGCACAAGTACCGGTAATTACAAGTACGAAACATGTACTGTGCTTTATAAACGAGCTTTTTGCATAAAAGCTTGTGCAAAAAGTAGCGGCTTATACCCCGAAACTAACGGTAATGTCCAAAGAAACCCTGGAGAACTATTACTCAAGACCACTCATTAAGGATGCAATCAGAGTAGAGCCTTGATTTGAATGTATCACTCCATGGAAGCAAAAAAACAAACAAAAGAAAAGATAGGAGGGTCAAGACGTTTGCACAGTACTGTATACTGGGGAATGAATGTTTGTATTCATTATTAGTACAAATACCAGATAGCGCTGTTGATATCATCGCTAACAATTTTCCTTTCCAGGCCATCACCATAGAGGCAGAGACGCGTGCCGATGGCAGCAGGAGGACAACTCGCTACGACATTGACATGACCAAATGTATCTACTGCGGTTTCTGTCAGGAGGCATGTCCTGTGGATGCCATTGTAGAGGTGTGTCTTTTTCCACAGCATAGCACAGTCTTGGATAGTGTGGGTAGCCCCACTGCATGTTTGATTGACTGATTGATTGATTGTTTGAATGATTGAATGTTTATTTTGAACATGTTGAAAAAGTACAACAACATAGAATTAAAAAGAGATAAATAAACAAAGCAAAACAAAAGGAAAACGAGCAACCACAACTACAAATAACTTT